TATGTCCACATGATTTCAGTTAGCAAACTCTGATGCATTTCATGGTTTCCATGTGAAGAGCTTTTGAATACCTCTTAGATTTCCAAGTGCTATAAATACCCAGCAGAGTAAGACTTCTGGGAGATGGATGGATGTCTACTGTCTAGGCATATCCAGCTATGCACGGAAGCTCTGAAAACTGTGCTGCAGATCATTGCATCCTTACGAGGCTCCTCCAATCTTACTTTCATGTGCTGATTCCTGAAAATCCTTTAAAATGCAACACTATTCTACGATCTCTAGGTCTCAGATAAGAGCTCTTCTGTGTTCATATTAGCTAGCCCCTACTTATAAACTGTCTTATTCTCACATGGGTGTCCCAATTATCCATCTAGCCTCCTTTTAGTAACACTTAGACAGCCGATGTGTTTCATTATTGTCTTTACAGAAAAAATAGAAAATATTTTTTGCTATAGAGGGGCATAACTGATTCAATTTGTCATCTATAGTATATTTGTTCCCCCAAAAGACTTTGGGGCAGTGAATTTGGAGTCGCAGGGAGATGAGCAGCAACAGGAAATGTCCCCAGGACATAAAGAAAAACTAACGCAACTTTAAAGCATGCTTGCTTTAAAATCCAACCTTTAGGGTTTATCACCCATACTGTGCCCTCAAAGGCCCCAGGGGAGCTTCAAAACATGGGTTAACATAGCTCTCTTTTAGTTACATTTCAGAAGCAAGAATTTTACTCAGTGTTGTCCCCACTTCCCCACGGCTGGAGGCACTGGCCAGCAGAGCATCTTTGTCTGGCTAAGAAGGTTGAGATGAGAAGAGCCCTCTAGTCCAGACAGCACGCACAATCTCCACGGAGATCACATCATTTCTGCACACAGTGATACTGTCTACAGGGATTATTATTATTCATTTTGTATTTGTAGCAGTACTTTTTCCTTAAAGATGGTCCCTTATAGTGCATGCTTTAATTCCTTCCAGAGCTGGACTCTGGTATTCGTTCAACTTAGTCACCACTCACGCTTGTGAGACTGGAGAGGGATGCCTAAGATAACATCATCTAGTGGACAGTGTGCTGTACTAAATCCTGTGCTCACATAGAGCCAGACCATGGTCACAGTGTACGGAAAGCGTAACACCTTCATATTGCTTCCGCAGCGACCGCTGCTATACCGCTGTGCTCACCCTGGTGAGTACCACAGACATCAGCTCATGCCATCTCTAAAGCTACCCTTGAGGTAGCACTATTATCCCCTCTTACAGTTGAGGAAACTGATGTATCTAGAAAGGGGCAAAGTCAACAGTCAGATTCAGTACATTGGTACCCAGTGCTTTTAGTACACAAAGAAAACTTTCAATGTACCTACTGTGCCCTCCTCATCAGAATATGTCACACTGTCATACATTTGACCCCTTTTCTCAACTTTTGTTTGGAGTTGGGAGACAACATTTACTTTTAATTTACACTCCACAATAAAGTTAAGTGTAAAAATAAGCAGAATAGTAATTTTGATGCCCAGCAGCTGCCACTGAGCTCAACAGAAAGAATATCAGTAAAAGAGCCCACATGACCAGATATCACAAAGTTTCAAAAATCTGATATTTTTGGTACAAGAAATTCCTGAATAATAACTGCTTAAAACTGAATTCACTTTTTAAAATCCTGAAATCAAATGGCATTGGGCAGTGAAACAAACTGATACCATATCTGTGGGGTTTTCACTTGTAATCAGCCTTACAATGGAGTGTGGGGTAGAAAAGAAAATCCAGTGTGACAGATTAGGGAAAGGCTAGTAGGAACCATGCCTTAGCAAACATAGCAGATATTCAAAACAATGGCTGTGCTGGTGGATGATTTAGGGGATAGGAAGGGACTAACCCTTGGCCTTTCTATAGGTGAGTTTATTTCTTCTCCTTACAGTGGTATTGGTCTTGGGAAACAGTAAAATAAATAAATAAGCGAACAAAAAAATAACAGGAATCTAAGGGAAATCAAGTTACAGCTGTGTGAAGTGCAGATTCCTCTGTAAGAAACAAATCACAGAATTTGCAATTTTGTAAATACCGCAAGCTTTCTTTGAAGACCAAATGCCTTGGATGTGTGTGTGTGTGTGTGTGTGTGTGTGTGTGTGTGTGTGTGTGAGAGAGAGAGAGAGAGAGAGAGACGGAGAGGGAGAGAGAGAGAGACAGAGACAGGAAGAGACTGAGACAGCGAGAGACAAACACACAGAGGGACAGAGATCACAAACCAGGAACAGAATTTTGAAGATGTCCTTAGTAGTTGATCCTCGCTACTGAACCCTTTCTTACAATCACATAGGAGACGATTTGTTTAGTAAAGAATGTAAAAGATGTCTTTGCAAAAGGGACATTTGCTGGTAGACTGGGGGGGGGGAGGAAAAGGTTACAAAATATTAGAAAACAATTTGAAGTAAACTATTATTTGAGAGAAATTCAATATCTGCACTAAATTCAGTTCATCCTTTAATTTCACTTTTACTTTAATGTGTATTCACACAAGTCAGCTTAGTAAGAAAGACCATGGGACATGGTGCAACCCTTTAATCACAACGATTGGGAGGAAGAGCCAGGTTGGGGGGGGAGGGAGGAAGAGAGAGAGACTCATCAAGGTGCAGATACTTTTCACCCATGTGTTCCAGTCGTTAGACAAACTGTGCCTTGCTGACTTTCTGCCTAGATCTCTTACTTCCCTGCAATGAAGGGCATGCAGTGATCTTTCCCTTCATTGGATTTTCTTTCTTTGATGGCTTCTTTTAAGTGAATGTTTAGCATCTTACTCAAGCCACTGCTATTTTACCCAGCATCAAGCCACTCTTGCTAGCTATCACTAGCAAACGGACCTTTGCACTTACCTAGCCCTATCACCTAGACCCTTGGGGCTTTCCAGTCTATTCAACTCCGATGCAGGCAGATTTCCATTCCCTTTGTTCTTTGTGTAGGCTTGTTTAAAGTGTAGGTCTCTAAAGGGGTTGGAAGAGAGACAGATGTTGAGGATGGAAGAGATTGGCAGTTTGAACAGCAGTTTGGTCTAAAGGCTTTGTTATGCTAAACGTTGAGAGCTCCTCCGAGTGTGCCTTCAAGATTTTGCATCATACTACATTAAATCCCTAACGCAGGGTAGTGTGTTAAATAAAAAATATACAAAAAATAACACCAGAAACGCAAACCAGCGGTCAGTTCTTTTAAATCATCTCCACAGACGTTTTGCAAACTGCACGCCTTTACAAACCCTGACACACTTGAGGCCTTTAGAAGAGGAGAAGCCGAGAATACAGATGAGCTTCTCAAGAGCGAAAACAGGTGATGTCATAGCACGCAGTGCGGTGTGGTGACCGCCAAGGCCGGCTGGGGAGCTGCGGTTCCTGGGAGCCCGGTGCTCTGCGCCAGGGGCAGAAGCAGCCTGTGGTGGGCCGGCGGCCCGGTGAGCACCCGCGCCAATCAGGGGCGCGCTCTGCACCGTCTTTGTTCTCACTGGGGAGCAGGCTGCGTGCACCGGTCTGCCACCCTCGTCCAGGGCTGGGTGCTCGGTACCTGGCTCCCCGACTCGCTTGGGTTGGGCGTCCCGCCCGCAGAGCTCTCCGCACCCGCGGTCAGCTCTGCGAGGGGAAGGTGCAGTCCAGTCCTTTCAAATGGCACCTCGTAGTCAGACCTGTGTGCGTGCGTGTGTGTGTGTGTGTGTGTGTGTGTGTGTGTGACTGTGTATGTGAGTGTGTGTGAATGAGCGTGAGTGTGAGTGTGTCTGTGTGTGTGTCTCTGTGTGTGTATGTGTGTGTGTGTCTCTGTGTGTGTATGTGTGTGTGTCTGTGTCTCTGTGTGTGTGTCTCTGTGTGAGTGTGTCTGTGCGCGCGCGCGTGTGAGCGTGTCTGTGAGTGTGTAAGTGTGAATGAGCGTGTGTTTCTGTGTGTGAGTGTGTATCTGTGTCTGTGTGTGTCTGTGTGTGAGTGTGTCTGTGTGTGTGTGAATGTGTGTGAATGAGTGTGAGTGTGTCTGTGTGTGAGTGTGTCTGTGTGTGAGTGTGTCTGTGTGTGAGTGTGTGAGTGTGTCTGTGTGTGAGTGTGTCTGTGTGTGAGTGTGTCTGTGTGTGAGTGTGTCTGCGTGTGAGTGTGTGTGAGTGTGTGAACACCTCTGCCCCGTTCATGATAAAGGACCTTTCTTTGCTGTGACAATGATTGTCAGACAGGGAAACACCTGTACACCAAAGACGCGCCTGTGCTCAGGTCCCTAACCCCATTGTCTGTGCAGCGCTCAGACCCGCCCCTGCAGCCCCAGGCAGCGAGCTGGCCTTTCGCATAAACTTCTTTGGGTTCCCTGGGTGCAAAGAGGTGCAAGACCGCAGTCTTCCTAGTACCTATGCTTGGATTTCGACCGACTGAAAGCCGAACCTCTGTCCCAGGGGAAGGAACGTTCTAGAGTCCACCCTGCTCACCTCCCCCTGCCCCTCCCCCGCACCGAGAGATCAGGAAACGTTTAGCTCCGTCTCAGATCCTCTAGCGAGCTCTAGCTTCCAGCTATTTAATCTCTCTCCATTCTGCCCGGACCTCGCGGAGGGGGCGTGGCTCGTCCCGAGGGCGGCGCCAGAGCCCCGGGTTGTGGGGGTGCCTCATTTGCATACTCCCCGCCCCCCGCGCCTCATTGGCCGGCGGGAGCCCCTCCCACCGCACTAGCTGACTAACCCGCGCTCAGCCTGCCGCCCTGAGCCTCGGAGATAAACTTAACTTGCCCGGAGATCCGAGGCGCTGTCGCCTCCCGCGATTGGCCGACGCCGCTCATTGGCTGCGGGCGCGGGCGGGGGCGTGGCGGGCGCGGCGTGATTGGCGGGCGGGCGGGCGGGGGCGGGGCGTGGCGGCGGGCGGCGCTGCGGCGGCTGCGGGCCGCTCCTGGCTGGCGGGGCGGGGGTCTGGCGATGGGGGCGGGCGGAACAACGGGCCGGTGAGCGCCGCCGCCTCGGTCCCCGGCGAGCTCGCGCGGGCAGGCGCTGCGCTGCCGCCGCCGCCGCCGCCCGAGCCCCGGAGGAGAGGACGTTGGGGCGGCCGGGCCTCCGCCTGCAGCCGCGGTGACGAGCCGGCGTCGGCGGGCGCGATGAACCGCGCTGGCAGCAGCGCGGCGGCCTCGGCCAACTACCTGCTCTGCACCAACTGCCGGAAAGTGCTGCGGAAGGTACGGCGCGCCCGCGTCCCGGCGCACGGCGCTCCCCGCCGTCGGGGTCCGGCCGGAGCCCAAGCGGGGCGACGCGCGAAGGGTCCCCCCCCACTCACACACACACACCCGTGGTCCCCGCGCCCGGCCCTGCGCTGCTGCCCGGTGGCCCCGGCGCTGAAGGGATGCTGGGATGCGGGGAGGGAGCGGCGCGGCCGGGGATGCAGGCTGGCCTGCGAGCTCCGCGGGAGCCTGCCTGCCTGCCTGCCTCCGCCCCCGCGCCCAGGCTGAGCCGGGTCGCCTCTGCCAGGCCCACCGTGCCCGCGCACCCGCTCCCCGCAGCCTCTCGCTGGGTCCCGCAAAGCACGGTGCAGGCATCGTCAAGTTTATGCCCGTGGGAAAGGTTGATCGATCTGCCAGTGCCTTTGGCTGGGGTCGGTCGGTGGAGGCGCAGGCTGAAGTGGATGCGTGGGTTCGCCCTCCTCATCATCCCCGACCGCGCTGTGGATGCAGAAAATGCAACCCCGGTGTCGGCCGGTTGCTTTCCAGAGGGGCTGATGGAAAGTTTACTCCAGTATTGTTTAGCTTACTTAGCTCAATCGCTTCGTGGGGGATGGGGATGAAGGGAGAGAGGGATGACAAATTGTCCCTGTAGGCGCAGAAGAGGTTTTTTGTTTTTTTGTTTTTTTACAGATATGAACAGCCTCCTTGAATAATATAATCCGTTTATACTCCACATTCTATTTTTACATTGCACGAAGTGAGATCATTAGGTGAGGTGCTTCTGTTTGTCCAGCACCAATGAATTAAAATTGCTGAGCTGTGCATATCAGAGAGCTAAGATGAATACAGTGCCGTTTTTTGTTCATTTCCCTATCTTCGGTCACTTTAGGATTGTTTTTTCATGTATTAAAAACAAGCAAGCATGCACATAAATAAGCAAGCTCAAATATTTGCTCTCTTTGTCCAAAAACTGTTTTTCTTCCTCTGTGGGTCAGGCCAAGTGCCAATCAAAGTTGTTTTTCAAGCCTCTTTTCCCTGCAGTGGAGCTGGTTTTTTTTTTTTTTTTTTTTTTTTTTTTTTTTTTTTCTCCTTCCTCCTCCTTTCTCCTATTTTATCTGAGTCAGGAAAGCAAAGGGATTGCAGGTTTGGAGTTAATCAAACAATTAAATACACCTTAAATTGTGTTTATTGGATATGTTTCTCTTAAAACAGATTTTTATTAAATGTGCATGTTGAGTATGTGCAGTTATTTTTCTCCATAAACTCCTGGATCAGATTACAGTTGATACTTGCTGGGCTCATTGTAGGGCAGCTTGTGAGAAATGTAATGGGTCAGAAGCTTGGTTCAGCTCAGTTGAACGTTAACTCTTTCATTGCTGGACCAGATGGCCTCCAAATTTAGCTTTTAAAAAGATAATGTTTCTTAATTTTTAAACTGAAACTGTCTTTGTGAAGGAGAAAACAATGCTCCTGAGGCCTGCTTAATTCAATTTACTCTCACTTAAAATGAAAGGAAATTACATTTTTTTTAACTGAATGTGGGGGAAGGTGCTGTAATTGACTTGCTTAAGTGATACAATTCTGTTTCAATCAAAGCACATTAAAATCTTAATAATTTTTTAAAGTTAATAGCAATTCATTTGGCCAATAGGGTGCTTGGGGTAGATATTAGTCTTCACACCTTTTTCTTTTGAAAGAGCTTTGATTATGGATCCATAACACTAACACTAAGGGCATACTTATGCTTTTCTTCTAGTTATTAAGGCACTAGTATTTCTGATTACCTAGGAAGACCACCCTCACTTCTAGCCATAACCAGAAGAAAGAGAAGTCTCTGCAAACTGGTCATACACATTTTCCTACTTCACAGTCGGGGGTGCCCACCTTTGCCAGTACCCAATTTTCAGTAGGTACAAGGTGTTTAATCTTGACTCATGTGGTAGCATGAAATGAGTTTATATAGGAAAAGAATTGTTTGTGCCAGTTAAGACATGACCTGGCAACGTTTGAAGCTTTTTAAGATTGCCATTCTTAAGAATTCTAGAAAGAAATCAGTATCTAGTGCCAAATGCTTCATTAATCTAAAATTGCCACATCAACATTTACTTCTGATAATGACATGTTTTTATTTTTGATAGAGTATGGGTATGTAAGATTAATCTACAGCTCTCACAACCTGATTCTTAACATTTTTTGTTTCCATTTAATGGTGTACAGTAATAAATGAGCTACAGCACTTTGGGTTTTAATTGAGTGTTGGTCACATACGTCCATGTCAGTGACCCTTTGCTACTAGAACTGTTGTTAATGGTGAGAGAAGGCCTTTACCTTTACATATGGCAGGTGGCATTTTTCTGTCTCTGGACCAACCTAATTTATGCAATATATATTATGGATTCTAAGGAAACTTCAAAAGGAACTAAATTAACCTTCAAATGAAATAATTTGTGTCAACTCAGTCTGAACATGGAATTTGATTTTATATGAGAATCTTATTTATTCTTAGAAGTGTCTTCACGGTTTGGGTTCACTTCTTTGCAAACTAAAGGGGAATTGTTGATGTCTCTGGTTTGGTCTCTGAGTTAGAGAAGAGCAGAGGAGAAAGCAAGAACATCAGACCCATGGGTCTAAGTCTGCCTGCTCTGTCATCGCACAGTTCAGTGCACTTTTCAGTAAGAGGAAAACTATTTACTTTCGGAAACAGCATTTTACTTTAAGAAATTCCAGTGACAACTGCAGAGATCTGGTCTTTAATTTCAAACATGATGTAGCAAAGCACATTAAGAAAGGTAGGTGACAGTCAACCCATTCACCCTGCCACTTTAAAAGTCAGGGACATACTACTCATACGTTGAGTGTTGAACTATTAGTACTATTAGGTGAGTAGAAGTTTTTGATATAAATGAAAGGGTTTAACATTTTAATTTCTTTTAAACAAAACGGGCTCTTACTGGATAGCCTGGGCTATTGTCAGTGTAGTTCAGGCTAGCCATGAACTGAACTGTTGATTTTCCCTACTTTAGTCCTCCAAGTGCTGAGATTACAAGCAGGCAGAGCCACACTGAGCAGTTTCAACTTCTTAATATGATTGTAACTGGTTCTAGTGATACATCTTAGTGATACATCTTATTGTGGCTGTAGTACTTTCTCACTTATACAGCTTGATACTCTTACAACTTCTTGATGTTTTTGCAAGTAAAGAGACTGTCAAATAAAGTGAAAAATGTTAGTTTGACCCATATGAGCCTCACTTAATATAATCAAAATGGCCTGTATTAGAAATTTTATGTAGTTTACCCAATGGAATAGATTTACTTACGTCATGGACAGGTAGCCATCTTCTGCCTTTGGCTAGTGAGCTTTTCTGGGTTTTATATTTTTGATTGGGAGGTGGTTTTAAATTAGTATTATCTTAAATAACCTAAGCAGAGAACACATAGTGAGTTTGTGGTAGCAAACCTAGATGCAGTTCTCTTCAAACTGCTGTCAATGAAGCCCTAAGGCGCTTTAGGAGTTAGAGTGCTTGTGTTGGATTAAATATTTAAGTATGTGTTCAGTTCTTTTAATGTAACTAAAAGTATAGATACATGAAAAATGTACCCATAATTTTAACACATTTGAATCTATCATAATTATCTTGTTACAAGATGGCGATGATGATGATGGCGGTGATAGTGATGGTGATGATGATTATAGTGGTGGTTATATATATTAGAACTTTCTATTACATTATTGATTCGGAAGATTGTCATTGTTTGTGAAGGCACTAACCTTTATAAAAACATTCTTTCATATATGTATGTGTACATATATAAGTATATATACACTAATATCACATATTTGTTTCTAGGACCACAAACTTAGTAATATAAATAATTATTAATTTATAGCAAAGCACTTATTTAAATTGTTGCTTTGTGTATTAAATACTTCATAGTTCAAGTTCAATATAAGCTTTAATTTGTGAAATGGCTTCTGCTGCTTCCCATAATTTATAAGATATTTACAGTTTGATCTTTGGCACTGGCCTTGCAGTTTGGGGCAAGTTAGCTAACTCCCTTGAAACCCAGTTTTTTCCTGTAGACTACAAATAGCTTCTACCTGTCTTGTGGTAGTTTTGTGGCTTAGAGAGAGTGTATGTAAGCACTCTGCAAACCTTCAAATGTCACTATACAAGAATCAAAAGCTCAGTCTCTGTGTTTTCCTTTGTGTGTTAGGATTATAGCCACTAAAACACATTGAGTAATTTGTTTTGTAGTCACTTTTCATAGGAATTTTAATGATTGCTAGTAAAAGAGAGGTCATGATGATTTTTGTTGAAAGTAACCCTTATGCATATTTTTAGTTTCACATTTCCATTTGTATCCTCTCTTCACACACACCCTCCTTTGAAGAGTAATATGATACATTGCTTTTGGATATTCCGATAATTTAATTAAATGCCTTTGACAAAGGAAATTGGTATTTGGCTTGAAAAGGCCATGTGTTAAAGCTGGTGTACTCAATAACAGAGAAGGTCTAGGATAAAGCAAGAGCATCTGGTTACTCAGTTTAGGGAAGAGTTTTGAAGCAGTAGTCTCCTAGGATGTACTTGACGTAGTCAACAACTGTTTTTGAGGCTAGAAACTCAAAACTGTTCTCGTTTTTCTTTTTTACAGTGTATAAAAGCAGTGTGGGCATAATCGTGCCACCCGTTAGCATAAACCAAGGAAGTGGTATCACTCAGCCTTGGGGGAGACCATCAGTTTCATTTAAGAAGGAGCAGTGAGCATCATGTTTTGACTCTTCCCTGAGTGTTCATCCTGTCACGTGTGTGAGGCAGTGGGAAGGTGCACAGCACCTCTGTACAGCAGCTGCCTGCTCACGTGTGCAGTGCCCAGCTCAATCAGCCAGTTTTTCATGTAACCATTTTACTCGAAGAACACCGACAGATTTGCTTCCTCAGATTTGAGTACTTAAGAAAGAAAACACATATTAAAATTAGTATTTTTTGTAAAATTATGTTTATTCCCATTAAA